TCACCTCTCCGCTCCTGTGAAGTCGGGGTGCGGCCGCTGCAGCGGTCCCGGGGTGCTGTGCAGATGCACGCCGCTCCCGGCGTCCGCAGGCGCCTTGTCTCCCTTGCCAGCTTGCACCGGCCGCGTGGCCAGGGGAGCCAGGCCGGCCGCGGGTCGTTTTGAGTCAGGTTTCAGCCACGAAACACATCCCAGGGGTAGCATCTGGCGCAGGGACCGTGGATCTCTGTAAGGTTGCATGAAAGCCATGACTAACTAAACCCATGTGCATAAGCAAGCGTTGTTGTGGGCGCTCGTGGCGTGGATAACTATTCCCCGAGGCATGCACTTGCCGGGGCAAACAGATTTCCACGACTCATCGGCAGCTTTGCAAGGAGTAACTGAGCTGCCTGGTGCAAAAGGCTTCTCCGTACATGCTAAAGGCTGCTTAAAATCGCCTTGACCTCCCCTGGGCTCCACTGATGCCCTGCCCTGGCCAAATCTGTGGCACATTAAATAACTGTCACCCTGAAAAGTAGCTGGGAAATCTGGAGGGGACCTCCTAGGGCTTGTCTCTGTGCCGTGGCAGCCTCAGTTTTGCTGCGCTGGACAGGACAGTCAGTCTTCTGGCAACGTAAGCAGCAAGATGGGCCAGTTCAGGGCTTTGTTGCGCTGCCAGTTAGACTTTAAAACTCCAGTTAAATAAAGTATGCTTGCCAGTTGCGACTATTTATCCTGGAATGGGACTTAACCGTTTGTGCTGATCATTCGCTGCCACCATGTAAGTTGCTCATGGCTCGACTTTTACCTCGGACCGTATTTTTGGAAGAATTCCTGTTTTGGAAATTTAATCATTTGCTGTTTAAACGCTGCTGAATTCCCCAGAGCCCAACAATTCATTGAACCAGTGAGGAAACTGGCAATGCTCTGGGCACATGCTGAATGCAAAGTTTACACAGACCTCGGAGGAGGACCTGAGAGCTGCATTCAGGGAGAGCACTGACATTTCCTGTTCTGTTGATTTAAAGTGATTAATTGCCATTTTTGATTCAGGTCAGTTTAGTATCTCAAATACATTTGACATGCTTTGAGTGGGTCTCCTGGAATACATCACTGTTTTAAAGCATTCTTAGGTATTAGTCTCTGCTTATCCAAATCACTGGGTAGAAATGACATTAAAATATTAGGAGAGGTTGTGTAGGGGTTGTGTACAGCTGTTCAGTCTCACTGCAGGAGGACGACTTAGTTAAAACCCAGTGCCAGCCTCGAGCTGGCCATACCGAATTCCCAAGGCTGCAGTTGGTGGGAAGCAGAGGAGAGCAGGGAGCTGCCCCGCAGGCACAGGAGGGCTCCCACTCCCTTTGCCTGCATCTGCCTTGTGCGGGCGGCTGGTGGTGGGGAGACAGCCTGCTTTTGACTGAGCACAGAGCAGCTTCGTGCTCAGATTTCAGCTCCTGTGTTTTCTGTTTCATTTGCTATCGGTGCGTAGTCATTAAAAGCAACTTTAAGTGCCTCTTCCCAGATGCTTTTAATGTTGGATCCATTTCAAAACTTGCATTTCTGCATGAGATCAGGCTTTTACCTTTCTTCCTTAGACCCGAGTGGAGCTTATACGTTTTTCAACCCCCCAAGGGATGAAGAAGTAGAAATGATGGGCTTTCTTCCAGAGTCTGGTAGCTGGAGCCCTGATTAAGAAGCAGGAGCTTTCCATTCCTGTTCCTTCGCAGCCCACAGGACTTTACACCCTCTGCCCCCAGGAGTGTTGGGCACAGCAGGTGGAGGTTACTCACCTTGGGGTAACCTCTCCCCTCAAATAAACCCATCCCACCCTCTGCCAGCTCAGGATGGTTTTTGATAGCACAAACTGAGGCCAGTGCTCCAAAACCAAGGTTGGATGCAAAGACTTGTAGCGTTAGGACTTCTGCCAGCGAGGCTTGCTTAGCATCTCCCAGTTACTTCCATTTATGCTTTCTGTCATTTCGTGACGGGAGGAAGGACAAGCAGCCATATCAAAGGGACTTCCACATGTTCAAATATCACCCAGCTAAAAGCCCTGTGCCAAGCCCTGCTTCTGCTGGCATTGTCGAAGGGGTGGGCACTGGGGACGGCTGTCTCCTTTTACCCCAAAACTTGTTCCCTGCAACCAGAGAAACTGATGGTTCTCTTTAGTAAGTCCAAAATCTTGAAATTGAGCAAGAGAAGTTAAACCATAGCTTTCTACCATAAATGATAACTGTAGATGTAGTTCATCATTCTGATGAATGCAGGAGACACACGGGACATGCTGCAGGGACCCCCCGGCTCACAGGGAAGGTGGCTCAGCCTCAGTGCACGGAGCCTGGCCATGCCCCCACACAGCCTGCCCAGTCCCCTGGCAGATGCCCTGCGGCTCCTGAGCATCCTCTTCTGATGTGGGGGATTATTTGAGTACAAGCCATTTGCCAGATTGAGAAACACTAGCCAAACTAAAAGCTGAGCTGAGATAACTCAGCACCGAGGCGACTGAGCAAATAGTCACTTGACTCAGTCAATAGCGTGACTTTGTGGCTGATTTCTACACCAGTATGCAGATGTAATTGAACTTCAAGCTTCAAATCAAAGCAGCAGCAGCTATGTCAGTCCTAGCTCACCAAAATCCTTCCCCCTGCCTATTGTGGCAGAGTAGTTTCTGTTCAAAGACAAAGAAATTCGTACACCGTTTTGTCTCTGTCATCTTTTTTTCTCTGTCTCTGACTTCGGATCTTTTTACCAATCTTTCCACTTGTTCTTTGGCTATTGCCTGTTTAATATGCAACAACACTGGCTATAAAAGCAACAAAACGGTGATCACTTTTGTGAACCCACCAGTGTCACTGATACAAATGCTGGTGCTCACATTACTCCTCAGCGTGCAGCTTCCAAGGACCAGAGATGAACCTTTCTGGGAGCACCAGCTCTTCATCACCTATCAAATTCAGTTCCTGGAAATAAATGGAATCTTAATCTGATTTTATTAACCAGTGTCACCTCCCCTGTACACTCCGTCGGTGACTGTGGACTCATTCTGTTGAATTCTACCTGGACCCTGGCCTTCTCCAGCTAAACAGCTGGAGGAAGCTGTGGCCCAGGTTTCCCAGTCAGGAGGCATCATTGCAGTGGGGCAGACACAGCAGCGGTGACATTGGCTCCTGTCAAAGTGCTGCTGTATTTTCTCACAACTGCGGGGTGCTAATTGCTCAGCCATGTGCAAGTGAGAACATATTTGCACGCCACAAAATGCAGGTGCTGTCTGGGGCAAATCTGAGTCTTCTTTGGGGTGGCCATGGAAAAAGAGCAGATAATGTACCTGCACCGATAGGCACCACCACTGTCCCTAAGGATGTTCTCCATGGTGAGAGTCAATTGATAAGGAAGATTTATTTTATATGACATTTAAAAGTAACAAGCACCTCTATTTCTGATGCTCTGCAAACCCAGAGGGTCAACACCTTGTTTGCCATTACCTGGTTTTACGATACAGAAAGACCTCGAGCTCTTTAAGGCAGTGGTTTGGGAGGTTATTTAGTTTTTCCTCTGATTCTAAGTACTCTTTCTCTTTTTACTTCCCCACTACAGTTTCTCAAGGAGGAAGAGGTGCTGGACAAGGTGGAGATCTGGGCACAGAAGTACCTACATGCTCACCCTCTCTGGTTCGGGAGTTTCTCAGCATTCCTGGTTGTCACTGATCCTGACTATGCCAAGGCTGTGTTGGCCAGGGGAGGTAAGGAGATGATGCCTTCACCTGTGGAGCAACAACCACAGCCTGCAGATTTCCCATGCCAGCCTAAAAATTCACAGCAGGGCAAGGGTTTCACAGAGAGGTTGTCTTGCAGAAATCATCTAAAGGCATGGAGAGATACCCCTCCTTCATGCCAAGCCCTGGGTGCTTCAGGCACAGGGCTTTGGGGCTGCTGACTGGGACCCCCCCAAATCAATTGCTGGCAAATCAAACTTCCTCAAGGGCTCCTTGAGAAGTTGTCTTCTTGGTGCCTGACTCCAGCAAGGAGAAGACAGCTGGGAGCTTTTTTCTTAGCTCAGAGGCCTGGCTTCTACAGCAGAGAAGTATCTTTAGTGCATCAAGGGAGAAAGGTGCTAAACATGGCTGTCTGGGAGGGTCAATCTTTCATCACACAGTACAGACTTTGGACTACCAATATTCTTGTTTACTCCAGTCTGGGCATCTGCTTTTATACGTGGTTCTCGCAGCTGGGCCAGACAGTGTTGTTTTATTGTGAAATACCAATGAGTGCTGCAGAGATGCCACCTATTCTGCTTCATACCCAACCAAAAGTGAAAGCCCAGAGAGAGCCTTAAGGTGCATACCAGTAGACTGGTGCTAGTGCAACATTTACCAATTTCTTTTTTCTTTCTTGATGATTTTTTTTACAGATCCCAAGGATAACATCAGCTATAAACACCTTGTCCCGTGGATAGGTATGTATTCCCAGGGCTTTGCCTACCAGGCATGATTCTGACGTTAGTCAAGAGCATGCTATGAATAAACAGCATTGTGCCTGTTCCTTGATGCAGTTAGAGCTAAAACCTTCCTGAAATTAATATGTTTATTGAAAAAGGTACTAAATAATGCTATTTTTTGTGGTTCAAGGAAAGAAAGTTAAGGCATAGTCATAAATACAACCACTTAACATGTCCGTAGTTAGCAAAGGGTTGCGATAGGAAAAGCTCAGATTCAGTGGAGCACTGGTGAAAAATGCATCTGCTGATCTGAATTCCTCCGCTCCAGCAGTGCTGGCGTTTCCCTTCAGAGGCAGCGCTGTGCGGTTTCAGTGAGCAGGGCTTTGCTCAGCCCGGAGAGCCCTGGAGCTGACAGCAACGTTTGGAAACACTCTGTCGTAGCAGCTCAGACAGCAGATTTAATCATGCTCCTTGCAGGCGGAGACTGTGTCCTCAGGCAGGTGAAAGCAGCATGCTTGTGCCCAGCAAAACATGCCTTGCCTGTGTTTCCCCAGGGAATGGGTTGCTGATCTTACACGGGCCAAAATGGCACCAACATCGAAAACTCCTGACTCCGGGGTTTCATTATGATGTCTTGAAGCCGTACGTGGCCCTGATGGCAGAGTCTACTAACGTGATGCTGGTAGGACTCATATCTGATGATCCTCTCTCTGCCCTGTTTTCTTTTCCCTGATCCTGAGTGGTTAGGAGGTGGATGCTGGAGCAGGGTTTTCTTGCAGTGCCCTTAGTCACAGCCTCATAACTGTAAGGACAGGCTGTAGCGGTTGAGGTTTCTGAGCCACCACAAATCTCTTCCTATGGGCTGGAAGGAATGAGCAGGTTGAGCCTCGCAGTGGGGACTATGTCTCTGGTACTGCTTTGGACTCTGTGGCTAAGATTTGAGGATTAATGTTACTGCCATCCCCAAACTGTGCATGATCTCAATCCTAAATGCCACTGCTTATAAGGTTTTTTTGTAGATGAAAAATTGAAGTAAAGAAAGGTTCATAATAAATCCCGAAAATACAAAGGTTGGAGCAGTGTTACACTGTGACCTAAGGTTAAAGGGTATCATTTGCTGTCAACATACCCATGACTGGACTGCAATCTCTGCCTTGCTTAATACACAGTGAAACTGCACTGTTCTTCCATCCATCCGTGCTGGGCATGATGGAAACCAGTGTGAATTGCAGGTGAGGGGCACCAGGCTTTGTGTATGTGGGCCAGCAGGAGTCTGGGTGCCAGATCTACTCCTTCGCCTTTGATTCCCTCTATCCAACCTCCCCAGCAGCTCCACATGGATCCTGGCTGTCCTTCCTCCCATCAGCCTAGGGAGCAGCCAGGAGCCAGGGGCTGGAGAGCTTTTGCAATGCACACAAGTGCCTGGCAGTTTATAATTCCTTGCAGACAATGCGAAGTGCCTATTGTGGGAGCCCATGCCACCAGGTGGCAATCTTTGTATGTGCTAAGGATGTAAGTCTGTCCATATAAGCCCTGTTCCCCAGCCTGGTTTCATGCTGTGGGAGCTCAGATGTGACTGTGCTCCTCCATCTCCTCCCTTTCTCAGCTTTTGAGTCCACTGGTTCCTTACAGCTGTGAAAGGACAGAGAGTCTTATGAGATATCTCATGTCCGTTATCTCATGTCTGTCAGGCAAGAGAAACACACTAGTTTCTCTAGGGATTCCCTATGGGAAGAGTTGAGGAAGAGCTCCTATATTATATGCTGGAAAAATACAGTGGGAGAGAGATCGTGAGATGGAAGCTTGCATCTTGGACACCAAAGGCACCAAAGTCTTATGTGCTTTTAAGAGAGAGACAGAAAACACGGACTCAGGGAAGCCCAATGCTGACACACTCCGCTCTTGTGCAGGAAACACACTGCACCCTAAGAAAGACTTCGGTAACATGCCACCTCACCTAGCAACGCACCCATCCTGGGCTTCTCCAAGGTGCCTTTGCCCCAGGATAGGGTGTACCAGGACTCAGTGCTGCAAGGATCTGACAGTGAGGCAAATCTTGTGTTATCCTGCTCTTGGCTTCTGGGGTTTTGATGGCAACTAAGAGATCCTCTTCTTTTTTCCGTTTCTCTGGGATGTATCCCTAGCTGAGCACTCGTTTAACCAAAAGGTCACTGCAGATCATGCAGAACTGTCCCTTGCCTTCTCATTTCTGTCTCCTTTGCACCCTAGGATAAATGGGAACAGCTGATCACAGACGGGAAACCAGTGGAGCTCTTTGAGCACGTCAGCTTGATGACGCTCGATAGCATCATGAAGTGTGCCTTCAGTTGTCACAGCAACTGCCAGACCAACAGGTCAGTGCTGGCTGCCCCAAACTCTGGCAGAAAGTTCGCACGTCTGAAGGGAGTTGGGCAAATTGCTTGTTCCGATGGTCCCAAATTTACAAACTTCCACCATTCCCCTCTCCCTAGGAAAAATACCTACATCCAGGCTGTCTATGACCTATGCCACATGGTACACCAGCGCCTCCGCATCTTCCCGTACCACAACGACATCATTTACTGGCTCAGCCCCCACGGATATCGGTTCAGGAAGGTCTGCCAGCTCGCTCACGACCACACAGGTATTCCCTGCCTTCATCCTCTCCCAAAGCTTTCAAGCAGGGTGGATGATGGCTGACCAGAGGCAGTTGAGTTACCTCTTTGTCCATGCAGTAATCCTGCCCGGAGGCTCGGAGCCGGGATCCGAGCAGAGCATCAGCTTGCAGCAGTGGTCTGATCTAGGCATGAAGCAAGGGGATCTCACAGCTCCTGGGTTATTAAACTGGGCTAATGGAAGAATTCCCCTCTGGGAATGCTCCTGTTAAATGACCAGAAGCTGGTGAGACAAGAGATGGGTGCTTCAGGCAACACCAATGCAAGGAATGATTTTCCTTTCCAGGCTAAACCATGATTTTAATTGAGGAGGGGTGGGTAAAATAGGCTGAGGAGTCTGTGGTGGACAAAGAAGTTAGCAGAAAAGGTTGGTAATGTGCACAGCATTTGCTGCTGAAAAAGCCAAACTGCCTGGGGTGCAGAAGCACACATCAAATGCATCATGAACTGAGCAGTGGTCACCCCTTTGGGTGAGGTCTGCATTGGCAGGACAATTTTGCAGCCCAGCATCTGCTGCCGCTGACGAACCTTTAACAATTTCTTCCCCAGACAAGGTGATCCATGAGCGAAAGGAGTCCCTTAAAGATGAACGGGAATTTGAAAAGATACAGAAGAAAAGACATTTGGACTTCTTGGACATTCTGCTGTGTGCCAAAGTGAGTGGCAAGGAGTGACGTGGGTAGCCTCTGTTGGGGAATACAACACACAGAGGGATTTCATAGTCTTGCTCATTTAGTATGGGGTGGATAAAGGGATTTATAAGCAAAGGAGAAGAGGCCCTGAATTCAGTCTAAACAGAGATTGATTTTGTTTATATGTATCCCAGGGGCATCACCACCCCCCTTTGCAATAGCTGAAAGAATATAATGTCCCCTCCTGCGACATTATAATATATATATAATTATA